ATATATTATATTATTAATTATAGTATATATATATATTATTATTATTATATATACTATATATATATATATATGTATATATATATATATATATATATATATGTATAAAGATATATATATTAGATATGTATATATATTTATATATATTATTATATATTTTATTTATACATATATGCATGTATATGTATATATATATTTACATATGTATATATGTATATATATACATATATGTTAATATATCTATAGCCACACATATCTATGTTTCTTTATCGATATCCATATATCTGTTCATGTATATGTATATGTATGTATGTATATACCGATTAATATGTAGAAACACATTGTAACTGTGCGCTTTTCTTTGATCATTTACCCACTTCAAATCAATCATTTGAGCTCATCTGTTGCAATTAGTGTATAAATTGCAGAATTGATTTCTCTCTCGAATTTCTCTATTCTTGTAAACTTTTTTCTGAAAAGTCTGCATATCATCGCATTTATATTAGTCATGATTACCTACTGTGATATACTTAATTGGCAAGGTTTGCTCTATTGTTCTCATGAAGTTATAGTGGTCTCTCGGTTGGTCACAGTTTCTGCATGCGCGAACGACACACGTTTTGTTTGCAGTGTGTGTACGTTTTTACTCAGGCCCATGCAGCTGTTCCCATTATACGTGACCAGATGTATACTAATCAGATGTGCGTCAGTCAGACATCGATATTACACAAGTCTCTTTGGATGCGTGGCTGAACACGACCTCTTCGACTGTGTCTATGACCAGTGGAGTTTACTTTCAAATCTTGTAGATCTGTTACTGACTGGATAGACGTTATGAAGCCGTCGATCTAAACGGGAAACAAAATGTATTGGATATCTACCTTCCATACTCACGTTGATGGTTGCTGGACTTGAACACTCCAATCATTCATTGATCAACTATATAAATGTGAAGTATCGTTGTAGTGCTTTATTCCATACGCGCTCGAATAATGAAAGTTGACTCATTTATGGACCAGATATATCAATGTGAAGTTTCGTTTTAGGTTTTGGGTTTATGCGCGCTTGGATAATGAGAGTTGACATCAGTGCAATACACTGGGTTGCTAGATTCACGGCTGAAACTGCAAACACGTCCCACGTGTACACACGCCGCTATGTGGTGGATGCCTTGTGCTCGACATGTGTATCTCTTTTGCAACCACGCGGGACTACTCCTGTAAGACACGATTGGCCTGCGCTTATTTACTTGTTCAGTATATATAATAAAAGATAACAATCAGAGAGAGACTCATATTAATGGATAATTTGGCAACGTTTTTCTCGCGGGACTATCTGGTAGTTTTTCAACTGTAGAAGTGTGGATTGCTGAACCACTGTGTATGAGTCACACACTGAACTGGTACGTTGTGTTTGCAATGAACCAACATTAAATCGTTAAATGGGAAACGCAACAACGCTTCACTGTGATGCTCACAAATAGTCACTGGCTGTGTGGCCGAGAATTTCAGGGATATTATCGAAGAACATCTGATTCATATAGGCATACCCCGAAGTGTACAGGGACATATCACCAGCAGCGATTCATGAACGCTACTTATAGTTCTCAATGAATTATGCTTGCAACGGCGGCGTTTGCTGACAGGCGTCATGTGATTTCAGCCAACCGCTTTAGTGCGAGTCGGCTGTGGGTCTAGTTCGGTTTAATGAACCACTCCCAACTGCGCACTCGCTTTACAGGCGGATATGAGGCCAAGGCGGAGTGTCAGGCTGAAGTAGATGAGGTGTACGCAGCCTTGGCCCAACTGGTGCATGCCGTTGATGTGGGAGAGGTAGCGTTCGCAGAGAATGCCACCCGAGCGTACGACTACCTGCTGCACACCGTCACAGTCAACTCTCACGCATTGAAAGGTATGGGTGTGGACTGACCAGGCTTGTTGCTTCACGAAACCGGCCGGCAATTTAACTCCTTGTACCTTCCGTTTCGAGAGATTCTGGTATCCTCTGTTTGAATCGCCGCTGTTTTGCGTACAAATAACCCCTCTGTTCTCCAACGCACCCGTAAGACGCAGTACACGCGGACGCTCCCGTGACTCCCTCTGAACGGGCGTTGATTGGGCGTGATAGCGTGCTGATCACAACTGCGTGTGAGTACGGCAGCAACTACACGGCACTGCTGCAGGTGTCCAACCGCACAGGGGCGTCTCTGCGGTGTGTGCGCAAGGAGAGCTCGGGGGTGTTGTCGTTGGCCCATCTGCAAGAGCTGTTGGAAGAGTGTGGGGACAGGGTAAGGGCTGCATGTATGTGGATGTTTAATGTACGCGAGACGTTTATATATATATATATATATATGTGTGTGTGTGTGTGTGTACATCCCTACATCTCAAAGCCACTTGCTTGTCCCTCCATTCATAGCCCTGTCCCGTACACTTACAATGCTACTTTCGACATTGAGCTAACAGTCGGTGTATATCTATTGTGCAGGTGGCGTTGGTGTCGCTGTGCTGGGTTCCCACTAATGGAGGGCTCGTGCAGCCGGCCGCAGAAGTGGGTGCGCTCTGCAAGAAGTACAATGTACTGTATCTGCTGGACGCGTGCCAGGTATGTTCTGTAGGTATATTTAACGTTACCGTGGATATTGTTGGCAAGTACCATGTAGGTACATTAACGTCAACGTGGATACTGGTGGTATGTACCTGGCGGAATCGGAGGGGTGTGTTGGGTTGGCGATAGTTAAAATCTGCGATTAAACGTTATTAGTTGCGAGCTTTTTGGGTCATATTGCCAAGTGTGGTGTATAGGCATAAGCATTTGATAGGTCGTCCTCCATGCACGATTGCACAAACATACTGTACGCAGAGGCCCTTTTTAGGGTTTTAGGGTCTAACCCCTGAAGTATCCATTCGATGCACAGACACAGCTATTTCAAGTTTTGAACACCCGTGCACTCGTGTAAGTTGGCGACTCCTACTCAACGACATACATCCTGAACATACATTCACAAACACAAATCTACATCTACGAACCGTGAACTGCACATTGAAACCACACAACGATAGATGAGCTATGCTAGCGCCTGACACTATCACCAACCCTCCTGCATACACGCATATGCCTGCCACCTCACAGGCGGTAGGTCAGATCGATGTGGATGTGCAGCACCTGCAATGCGACGCTCTGGTCACCACTGCACGCAAGTTCCTGCGGGGGCCACGTGGTATGGGGTTCATGTATGTGCGGAGGGGGTCTGTGTTTGCACGTGCTGAGCCTATCTTCCTGGACCTTGCCACGGCCACGCTGCGTAAGCCGACGCCGCAACGATCGCAAGGTAGTAGGACTGATGTCCTGGGGATCAGCGGGCCAACTGGTACCGCTTTGAGTGGGCTGGTCGAATCGGGATTGAGTGACGGTGATAAGACGAATGTTGAGCTTCAATTGGGAGAAAAAGACGTATTTGATACAGACCCACGCCCCGCACGTAGGTACGAGAATTGGGAACGCAACTATGCTGCATGGCTGGGCTTGGGCGAAGCGGCGAGATACGCTCTTTCTATTGGCCTTCCTAAAATAGAACAGAGAGTGCGATTCCTCGGCGGGATGTTAAGAAGTACACTGAATGCGATCGACATCAAGTACAGAGTAGTCTCCAGAAGTGCGGAACATTCTGCTGTACCATCCCAGAATATTGAAATGCCTGAGGAAGCGCGCGAAGAATCGGCGGTGCAGGTGATGTGCCTGGGGGAGGCCCACTTGCAATGTGGAATTGTGTCGTTTGTGGTGAATGGTCTGAGTGCTACCCAGGTCAAAGACACACTCAGCGAAACGTACGCCGTCAAAGTAAGCGTGTCTCCTTTCACGTCGACCTTCCGAGATATGAACGAGCGTGGATTGTGTGACGTGGTGAGGGCTAGTGTGCACTACTTTAATACCGAGCAGGAAGTGCGGTACTTTGCCGAGTGTGTGCGGCAGATAGCGGAAGACGCGAACCATCCGTGAGCTTAAATTCGGTTTGCTTTGCTCGAAGTATTTATTGATATGATACTGGATTGTCCGGACGCCCCATATCATGTGCCATAGCGTACATGGTGCGCCGGTGTGAGAATACATCGTTAGTTTTCAGAGGGTGGGTATGGAACTTGGGGCGCATTTTGTACACTATCAAGCGCGATGTAAGTCTTCTCCAGTGTCTGTATTTGGTAACGAATTTGGCGAGTTAGCATATCGGCTTACATACGCGTATACATAGATCTAAATGTTCGATGCGTGCTGTTGCATGTCGTATGATTTCAACGTCCAAATACGAGTGGTCCAACCCATACGGTTAATTGCCACGGGAAAACGTGGTGCCATGTTGTTATAAAGCTGCAACAAACTGAGAGCTCTGATAAGAAATACATAATTCGAAGATGCATGGACTGAATGAGTGTTGACTTAATCCATTTCGAAAACCGTTTATTTTGTGTTATATAATTTGTTGATATATTGCAGTAGTGCTTTTAATGTGCCATTTAATTTGAAACCGATTGACCCGTTAAATTTCGCTCGTGACGTTTATTGCATTATCTACTTGCGGTTCTCAATGGAGTCGTATGTATAGCTCTGTGATCTGATCCTTTCAAAATTAATTACCTATAAGATACAATTTCGGTATTGATTTGTGTTAGTTTTTATCTTTTTTTAAAACAAAGGTGATTTGCCAGAGATCCATAGTTTGCTCTTTACTCTCAACAGAGAGGTATTTACAACTTAAGTTTACAAAAACGAAAACGCTCAACCCTCATCCTTTTTTTGTTTGTTTTTTAAAAACACCAATAGGAGGCTACATATGATAAAAATAGAAATTTACAAAAAAATAAATTGTTGTGTTATGTGCATGACTCAAAGAGCACATTCAGAGAGTTTTTTGACAACTTTTGACAGGATGTCCTTTGGGAAGTATGACGTCATACATGTTCGCCAATAAGTGGACTAGGGTCTCAGTCGGAAAACGGGATAAGACAATACGACACAGTAGAGTGGCTTATTGGTGGAGGTTTATAGGAAGCAGTTATTGGTTGAAGATAAGTAAAACATAAGGGTTGGGAATAACTAGAAGGTTCAAGCAGACCAAAGGTTTGTCAGAAGTAAAGGAGAAAACCACCTTAGTGACTAGTATAAGTATGATGGAAATCCTGCTGAGCTAGAGTAGTGTTCAGAGGTTAACAAATAATTTACAGAAAACTAATATAAAGAAGGTTTTTAGTCAGAGTAAAAGGGCTTACTCTGACCCTTTTTCCTATTTGTTGTATTTGAGCACAGAACAATTGTATTAGAAAATATATATATATATACATTTTTTATTTATTTTTTAAATATACTACAAAAACAACAAAACAATATGAATGTACATAAAAGTAAAATTGAAGCAAGACAAAAAAAACAAATAGAAGGCTATCAGGACATATTTATTTTCCTAGCCACTTCTAAAATTGAACATCTAATACATAGCCTTCTAAAGTTCTAAATAATGTTTATGAAGGCTTGTGTTTGCTATGGATCACTGTGATCTTTTCATTCAAAAACAACCCAACCCAAAACGGAAAGATGGAAAAGAAAAAAGAAAAAGATGTCAGTTTATAGTTATCACATGACCATGAGGCAACTCGAAGCAGCAAAACAACCGCACTGAGCACGCATACAGAGGATATATAAAGCAAGATCAATATATAATAGCAAGTTAAATACGCATAACAAGTACTGTATTAGCGAACAAACAACATTATGAACATCCTGTTACTTGCCATCGAACGCCTGTTGCTATGTGTCCGTATATTCCTAAGCACATTCATATTGCCTTACTTGACGGGCTTCTTCTCATATGAGAACACATTCGGAAAGGTGTGGTCGAATCACTACATATTCATAACGGGATGCGATACAGGTTTTGGTAACATGCTGGCCAAGCGTCTAGATAATCGGGGATTCTCAGGTATGTCTGAGACTACAGCTACACGGCACATGACTGTGTCACCGTATTCCCTTCATGTTACTGCATGTGGCCACTGGCATATAAAAATGTAGATAACCAATATGTGTGTCTCTAAAGCCTTCGTAAATATAACTATATACGTATATATATATATATATATATATATATATAACTATATATATATATATATATATATATATATATAATAACTATATATATATATATATATATATATATATATATATATATATATGT